TCCCACGCCGTTGCCTCCCCTGTCCCCGGTCCTCCCCTATCACCGGTGTCTGCTCTGGAGGTCGAGGCTGAGTCCGGTGCATGCCCGCTGTAATGGAGGCCCAGGTATGGAGCCACTGCCGCTCGCTGCCTAGAGGCCGAGGCGCAGAGCTGCTGCCGCTCGCTGCCTTGAGACCAACGTGTGGGGCCATGGCCCTTGTGGCTGGACTGAAGGTCGAGGCACCGAGTTGCCACCGCTCACCCCCTACGCGCGCAAGCCCTCCACTATCGCGCCTGCCTGGAGTCCTCTGCCTCTACTACCGGCAAGGACTCGGGAGGCCGAATCTAGACGAAGGGGCGACTGCCGCCATTTTTTTTTCATTTCCCCCTTTTCTTCCCTTCTATTTCGCTGATGTAATGTATGGCTCGGTTAGTTCGATTCTAACTGAAATCGAACCGAACTAACCGAGACCGAATTTCCTCGGTTCCAAGTTTCCTAGCTAACCGATCGGTTCCAATTTTATGCTAACCGAATTTTATAAAGAACCGAGGAACCGAACCAATTGGTTTCGGTTAACCGAATGCTCAGGGCGAGCGCCCATAATACTGTTTATGTTCAGACGCATCTGGCAGGCCCTACCATGTTCGCCTGGTATGCCAAACGATGGTGCCCACAATATTGTTTATGCTCTGACGCGTTTGGCAGGCTCTTTCGTATTCGCCTGACATGCCCCGATGGCACCGTCCTGCATGTGCGCAGGGCATGGTAGGGTACGGTCCTCGGTATTGCGGTTGACTTGAGCGCCTTACCTTATCTGCTCCGCCTGCTCCCCGGGCCCATATCGGGCGGGCGTCCCCGACCGTGTCGGTCGGGAAAGAGGAGCGAGCAGAGGTCCGTATTCTCGGTCGGAGAAAGGGGGTCGGAGTCGGACTACGGTCCCACCACGGCCAGGCCTTCCGGTCGCACCTCCGATCAAATCTCCTGGCCGGTCGGGGGACCGGATCGTGGTCTTGACCTGTCATTGTGTATCCGGGCCGGCCTAGGCACGTGCTGTCGCTGCGCCGCCTGTTGGGCCAAGTTTTACAAGGAAGCGGGTCCATTGGGGACCCCGAGTTTATGAACCCGACAATTCATATTTATTAGGATAAAAAATTAGTCAAATTTTACTTTAATATACTCTAATACATATGGATTATTCTACACTAAAGTATAGCTAAACAAGCGCTCGAGTTTTTATGATTCCAAATCTAATTCAATTCATATTTATTAGGATAAAAAAACTAGTCAAAATTTATTTTAATCTACTCTAATACATATGGATTAGAGTACACTAAAGTATAGCTAAACAAGCGCTTGAGTTTTTATGATTCTATGACCGACATTGCCACCACTATAATTCTGGGGCACTAAGAGCAACTTTATCAAGTATCATATTCCTTCTCCCCTATAATTAGTTATAAGAGATTTCTCGAAATAAAGGATATAGAAGTGCATCACTATAGTAAATTACTCGAAGCTTAGCCTTTATAGTCAAATCTGTATAGCAAATAATTAGTTATAAGATATGTCTTGAAATAAAGGATATAGAAGTGCATTGTTGTACTAAATTACTCCAAGCTTAGCCTTTATAGTCAAATTTGTATAGCAAAGAGGGTGTTTTGTCTCTTAGGAGGTAATTAAGAGATCTTTCAAAAAAAGACAAGTAAAGACTACTGTATAATACATTTTTGTAACACCATTTTCACTGTTGGTTTGTTAAAAAGCATTTGTGGTAATTTTCATCGTTGGTTTAGACTAGAACCAGTGGTGCAAATTCGGCTAAGCTCGTAAACGTTTGTGCTAGTGTCTCATTGTACATAAACGAAAGGTGAGAATTGAGAAGATTAGCCATCTAATAAGGACATGACACCTAACAATACGACTATTGAATATAAGTTGACCCCTTCCTATGTTTGCGCAATAATATAACTAAAATCGTGTTGCTAATGTTGGCCATACATTTATGTTTATGTAAGAATTTGAGGTTGCTATAAATCTTGGAGAGACATGTTATGAGGCCTTTACAACTTATGAGATGTGGATGCACCATGTGTAAGACCCATCTTGGATTGCAACCCCATCGAAACTTTTGGTTTGCTTACAGGTTGATGTTACTCTATTGTGAAAGTCATAACTCTTCCATCCAGAGTGTGATTGAGGTATATGAGTACTTGATGGCTTTCAAGTAGATCTAGTCCCAAATCAATATCATGTCGTCAAGTCCTCAAAATCGTCATGACATGTTTGCTAATGTTTCTGACTAGTGCTGTGGTGTCGCCTTGGGGTTGTTAATCACCCTTGGGATCTTGGTCCAAGTTAGAGCAACCCTAATCTTGTGGAGAACGCCTCAAGGACACCTTAGGATGTACTCCCCCTGGCCACCGCCTTAGAAGGTAAGCGTGGACATCCAAGCCAAGATGGAGGCCCAATCCATATAAAAGTTCGAGTCTATCTTAAACTCTAGGAACATCTCACACTAAAAACAATGCGGGAATCAATGCGTCTATCTTTTTCGTGCTTGTGTCCTTGATCCATAGACTTTGTGGCGAGGTCTATTGGAGAGTGCAGGGTTGAGAATTAGAGAAGACGTGGTGTTGTCATTGTAAGATTATGGCCCTCTTCGCTTGAACTTATCAGCCGTACCGTTTCAGCGAAATAACAGTATTTTTCTCTCACAGCAAATCAGTATCAGCATCAGCATCAGCCGTTTTTCCAGCTAGCCAAACAGGGCGTATCTTATGAGACTCTAAAAAAAGATTATCTTATGAGAAAAAAAGAAAGAAAAAGTAATAATCGGACAAACACAACATTATCTTCATAGGGATGTCATATAACTCTAGTAAAAAGGAAATCAATTATCATTCAAAACTCAAAAGCAGCATTTTTTCCATGAGGTAATATTTGTTTTGGGTAGATCCATAGCGGGACAACTTCGTGCAAAGAATAACAAAAATTGAAATCAGCTCCCGGCGGGTTTCGCGAGTTGTTCATGCAAAGGATTAAAAAAAATTAAACTCAACTCCCAGCGAGGATCGCGAGTTGCAATTTGCAAAAAAAAAAATAATAATAATAGAGCTCAGCTCCCGGCGAGGATCGAACTCGCGACCTTTCGCTTACGAAGCGAACGCACTACCACTATGCTACGGAAGCAGTTTAATTAAAATGCTCCATGATTTCTATTAGTCTTCTATAACAACAGTTTGAACATTAAACATACCTTATATAAGCATATAAAATCCATTCGACAAAGTTTTGAACGAACAAACTTGAAACGTTGCCCGCTCCTACTAGCCTCGATGCACAAAATACCCTCCATGGACAAATATAATGGACTGGTGTTTTTAGAATAGATTAGAGGAGTATGAATTGAAGGGCACCTTGAGCTAAAAGTAGGCTTTAAGTGGTAGGAAATTATACATGCAAGAAAAAGATACTCAGAATCCAACAAATTTTGAATCCCTCAACCCCTTGTATTTGTAGACGGATGGAGTATAAACAATACTAGAGATGCGCCGTATGGGTTAAAAAAGAATTATGTTACTTTGATAAAGAGCAAAACACACTAGTAGAGAAGAAGCATCATGAAGAAATCTATTACTTTGATTAGAGTAAAATGCACTAATAGTCATCAAAACTCACTAGTAGAAAGGAAGCATCCAGAGATGCGCCCTTTTAATCGTCCAATATGATCCTTTCCGTGTTATCTTTGGTTTGTGGTCCGAAATGTACATGACTTGGTAGCATAAAGGTTTCATTTTAATTAGTCATGCTGTTGGTAGCATATTATTAAGAATACTTTTCATTAATACTAGAATTTCCGATCCTAGACCAGAATTTCTGACCGTGAGAGGTTCGGAAATTCTGAGGCTGGCCAAAAATTCTGATCCTGTTAACCGCGGCAAGTTTTATCAGCACATTCGCTTGATCGTATTTGGCTTATAAGCCATGGCTTATCACCAACGAATAATATTTTTCTCTCACACCAAACCAGCCAACAGTACTTTCAGCCACAGCTTATCAGTCAAACAAGCCCAAACGAACAGGACGTATATTTTTTTAGGAACGCGTATTCACCCCCTCTAGGAGACATTTCAATCCTTTCACACATAAACAGGAAAATAAAAAATTGACACTCTTCATGGTTTCACAAAATAACTATAGAGGATACATGCTGATTAATGTTTATTGCTAAAGAAATCACCATATTTACTTCTCTTAGCAGGGTTGTATTTGTTGTGCCTAACTACAACAATAAAGAGGCAACTAGCTTATGTCACAGAAAATAATAAAAAAAGACATATTTACTTTTATTGTTAGAGTGTATTTCTGCAGAAAGTTCTTCGAATTGAATTTCTGATATATCTTAATGTATTCCCTAGTACACATTCACTTAAACCCCACTCGAGTTTCTGCATCTGATCCAACCAGTTTACTTCTTTTTCAGTGAACCCAGGTTCCAGTCTCCAAGTTCATATGGCGTGGCAGGAGACATATAAACATACAGTACTTATTCAAACATGCAGTTAACACCAAATTGAAAAGAAATTATTAATTATGTTGAAGACAATCTAGATTGATTGCAAGGCAAGGCCCCTGGAAACACAATCAACACTGATAATATATAGCTTTTCTATGTGGTGTGAAAGAAAGATAACACGGAGTAACATATATTTCAAAAAAAGATATTCATATATAATTTTGAAATTGAGAATTTCGTAAAACACTTACACAATTTATTGATCCAAAATGCAGGACAATCTATGAAGGTTCACTGGGTTTCTTCATCATTCAGTTTGAGGTAAAAAAGTTAAATACAGAATCCAAATTCACCTCTTGCGTTAAAGTGTTGTTTTTGGTTGTCAAGTGTTCACAGAAAATGAAAAAAAAAATCGCTTCAGAAGCATAGTTGGAGAGTATGGCTGGTTCAACTAACATTAATTTTGAAATTTATTCAAATAGCTGTGAATTTTGTAGTGAAGGATTCACATTCCAACTAGCATAATCACATTGGCACTTGAACCATCAAGGCTTTGGTGAGGGCTAGGTACACACATGACGCCCCTGCAAATGTGTTGACAGTACAATTCAATTTTACAACTGATCATATCCTGTCGTATGTCTATGAAATATTATCTCTCTCAGTGATACAACTTCTCAGTCAGAAAACGTAAAAAAGAGAGATGAATATTGACAACCAGTGAGTTCTTGTAAAATGGCACAACGTGAAGGTGCCATCAAGGTGGCAAATGATATTAGAGTAATCCTTAAAATGAACATTGCATAATGAAGTTCGATGGCATTATCCTTAGAAAACATTCATGTTCAAACTAGATCGAATGGATCCAGCATTTTAAAAAGATCTGCTAGCATTTTCAGGTTCACATCCAGTGCAGTAGGAACCAAAAAAAAAGAAATTATAAAACTGCTGATACATGAATACTTTGATGCATATTCCTTCCATGGTTCATATTCCAGGAACAGAAGTTTAAGGTACTGATGCACCCGATGCCCTATAATATCAGGGTGCATATGACACCTTCTTATGGTTACGATACAATTCCATGCATACTCTGGTCTAGATAGGCTTTCAAACATCTGGAACAGATCCTTGGCCTTCCTTTCAGTGGTTGATGAATCTAAAAATACTGTTATCTTGTTCAGTGCTGTTGCCCAATTGAATAGTCGCTTCACAAAAGAAGCTTCATGTTCAGATCCTCTCAACTTTAGGATTTCTATTTCTTGAAGGTTAATCAACGAAAGTTCCTCGATTTTCCAGTTTGATTGTTCCTCACAAACACAACCTTGTGGGCATGGAGTTTGTGCCTGACACAACATATTAGCATCATGTTTAACAGATAACATTGCGTCAAGACATCTTAGAGATGTGTCATCAAACATCAATATCTGTGGAAAAATTCACCTATAATTTTTTTGACTGCAGCTGCAGTATTATGATAGCGTTGTGCAATGTTTACAAGTCGTCTAGTCAAACCTAGTCGTCATGGGACCAATCAGACGATTAATCACGATTAGTCGTCGACCAGGCTGATTAGTCGAGCCTGGTCGACCCTATACATACCTATAGTATGTATTTCAATAGCTGTACAACATCCAAGGATGACGAACTAGCAAGCTAGCAGACTAGCAAAGGAGCTGCAGAGCGAGGGATGGGGTAAGAGGGAAGAAGATAGAGGAGGGAAAGGGCACTCACCATCGGAGGAGCTTATGACGAAGAGGGGTGGAGTGCACGGCGCTGGGAGATGCTGAGCGCGCTGCGAATCCAAGGCGGCGAGGGATGCCGGAGGCAGCATCGGCAGGAGATGAGGAACGACGCGCGGAGGAGTAATTGCTTGTGGGAGAAAAGGAATTGCGCGCGGAACGAGGACTCGCAAGCGGGAGAAATTGCGGCGGCGCGGGGAAGGATTCCAGTGCGCCTCCTGTGCGTTTTGGTAGCCCAATGCCCAAATCTAAGCCCAGTTAAACAGGCCCGCAAAAAACACAGCTCCAAGCAGGTCGTCCCCCTCCTAGTCGGACGACTAATCACGATTAAACGATGATTAATCGGACGACTAGGTTTCTAATCGAGCTAATCGCGTCGGTTTCCCTAGTCAACCTCCAGGGACCAATCAGGATGATTAATCGCGATTAGTCGGACAACTTCTAAACATTGGCGTTGTGGTAAATCAATGGTAAATCAAATCGGTGGAATGAAGTGTCTTTTAATAAAACTGTGCAAGGTTATCAAATGAAAGTGAGGAAGCTTTGACAAAATACATACCAAAATCTTACATTTCCCTAACTTTTATTGTGATATCATGATTACGCCTGCCCTGCTAAAACTCAATCAACTTGCTGTCCACTGCCATATATTTCAAACAGACCGACCAACTAAAAAAAGACACATATTTCCAGCCCAGGTACTAGAAAAGAAGTGCTTTGATAATGATATACATATACCATATATTTACCACGGTTACACTTTGAAACAAACAAGTATGAAACCAGCGCCTAGAGCAGCTAAGTGTTCCATGGACTCCTTTTGTAAACAGAAATAGTGGTAGTACAACAACAACAACATCAACAAAGCCTTTAAGTCACAAATAAGTTAAGATAGGCTAGAGTTAAAACCCAGCAGAAGCAAAGGTTCAGGCACATGAATAGCTGTCTTCCAAGCACTTCTATCTAAGACTAAGTCTTTGGGTATATTCCATCCTTTCAAGTCTCCTTTTATTGTCTCTACCCAAGTCAACTTCGGTCTTCCTCTGCCTCTCTTCACGTTACTATCCTGGCTTAGGATTCCACTACGCACCGCTGCCTCTGGAGGTCTCCGTTGGACATGTCCAAACCATCTCAACCGGTGTTGGACAAGCTTTTCTTCAATTGGTGCTACCCCTAATCTATCACGTATATCATCGTTCCGAACTCGAGCCCTTCTTGTATGTCCGCAAATCCAACGCAACATGCATATTTCCGCGACACTTATCTGTTGAACATGTCGTCTTTTCGTATGCCAACATTCTGCACCATACAACATAGCAGGTCTAATCGTCGTCCTATAAAACTTGCCTTTTAGCTTCTGTGGTACCCTTTTGTTACATAGGACACCAGATGCTTGCCGCCACTTCATCCATCCTGCTTTGATTTTATGGCTAACATCTTCATCAATATCCCCGTCTCTCTGTAGCATTGATCCTAAATATCGAAAGATATCATTCCTAGGCACTACTTGACCTTCCAAACTAATATCTTTCTCCTCCCGAGTAGTAGTGCCAAAGTCACATCTCATATACTCAGTTTTAGTTCTACTGAGTTTAAAACCTTTGGACTCCAAAGTCTCCCGCCATAACTCCAGTTTCTGATTCCCTCCTGTCTGGCTTTCATCAACTAGCACTACATTGTCCGCAGAAATAGTGGTAGTAGTACCCCCAAAAAAATTACTGCAAAATTTCAGTAGTTTGTTGTTCAATCAGCTTAGAATTCTGTATGCAGGGTTGTAAAGAAAAAAAGCAGTCCATTTGCATGCTTGAAGAGGACAGAGGACAAAGTGAGACTTCTGTACTGTATTTTCATTTTTGAAATAGTAATACTTCAATAGATTGCACGTATGATTTATACTGTATTAATTCCTGATCTATAGATTTGTCCTCACAGATGAATACTTGAACTACAACAAATAGCTTGGTTATGAAGTGTACTCAATTGAACTTTTGAATAAGATAGTCCCGGTACCAGCATTGAGATCTGTAGCTTTTACTTGTTCCCGTACAAATTCAATTTTAAGTCAACTACCTGAACTACCTCCGAATTTGTCAATATGAAATATGATATCAGAAGAATGTGCTTGGAGCGTGCAGAATCGTTGGTTACTTGAGTTATCAAGCATATCATGTTGGATAACAAACACCTCTTATTGGGGTCTTTTTTTACCCATTCTTTGCTGAATGAAATTGTATCAACAGTAATCAATTTATCAGAAGTTCTGAATTATATTATTTTGTTTCAATTTTAGGGGCCCGTAGCAATGCACAGGCCAATAACTAGTTACTTATTATAGTGTGCAGTCAACCAATCATAAGTTTGACTACTATCTTAGATTTGTCTATGTTAGATTTGTCTCCGAAAATGCTTTTACAATACCCATAATTTAAGTAGGCTAGCTACAAGCGTATATTCTATATGAAATGAATGGTCAAATTTTGTGTTATGGATGCTGTATCCATGTCCAGAACACTACCTTTTTTTTAAGTAGAGAGAGTACAATATAAACAAAAGATACCTTTACCTCTGAGTGGATATCATCTAACAATGTCAGCACCAGCATTCTTATTCCAACACACATCCTGAGAACATGGAATGAGCTGGCCCCAAAGGAATGTCGATTTGCAAGTACATTCAGGTACAAAACTTCATGGTCAGGGAGAACTTTCATGTCTTCCATCACGTATTGATAGTTGCCTATATCCTGTGTGTTTGTAGGACAATAAAAAATGGATCATATAAGACTGTTTCAAAGAGACAAAAACATCTTAGCGCTAGGAAATATTTCTAAAAAGAGTAGAAATGAACCATCTGTGAAACAATTTCTATTTTCACCCCTCTCGTTAGCACCAGGTTGAATGGATGCTTAGGGTGAATGTCTTAGTGCCAAAGGCATGGATGATTTTTTTTCGATAAATGGCATGGATGATTTAAGATTACGATCTAAAAATTGGACGAGTCTTAGCTCAGTGCCATATCTAGTGATTGGTATTGAGGACTGAGGTCTTTGGTCAGTACCAATGTTGTTAGAGCTGAGCTGTTACGCGTAGTGCCAATGACACTAATTAGCGCTGAGCTCACAAGTGAACTCCAGAAATAGGTTTTGTTTATCAGGGTTCACTTTTGGATGCATTTTAGAAAAAAAGCCAAAATAGGCTAAAAACATGGTCATCGTTGTTAGCACCAAGTAAACAGTAGAACTGCAACTCTGTAAGGCAAGTTACCTCTCACACAGAACCTGTTCATAACAAGATGCTTAAAAACTTGCAATGATTCTCTTGTTCTCTAGAAAATAGTTTGAATCTCATATATTGTTGGCAGGGCAGGATGGAAAAGAGTAATAATTGAGTGTGCTCAGCAATTTTGTCGGTAATTGAGCAAAGCAAAACAGGTGAGAACTCTTCATGGCAATTGCCAAATATATTATACATGTCCCTATATATTGTGTTCGACAAAAGAATCAAAATGAAGCAGGTCTTAGTGAACTGGATCAATTAATTGTTCTGATGTTAGAGAGAATCTATATCTATACTTTTCATATATAGTATGCCCAAATTAAAGTACTTTCATTTATTTTCAAACTAAACAATCCTGGAGTACTTTCATTGCAGCCAGTTAATTTTAGTCATTGACTAGTCAAATATTATGATGTCCAACTCCAAATGTTTATTGTGTGGTAGCATAGCTAGGACACTTCTTGCTTTTCGTATCTATCGCATATGACACTTGGATGGACGTAAACCTCCAATTCACATATATATTTGCTTGGCTAACTATCACAAGTCAAAGCTACAGACTAGCATGTCAGCGTGTTTGGCAAATAATAAAAAGACGAAGCAGTGAACTCACCCTAAAATAGGCCAGCGACAGCGAAAGAGTTTTGATGGTCTTGATAGGCTGCAAGAGCTTCAAACAAACTGTATTGTGTTCACTGCCCCCATTTGGTCCTTGGACTCCATATACACAATATGACAAGTCCCCAAAGGACTGGAGATGTGGCATCCGACCGAGCTGGACATAGCGTTGCACATTCGCATCTCCCAACTTGAGAATCACAAGCCGAGGGGCTGAGATGGTAGCAACTGGCAGGACACGCGGCATGTAGCTGAAGCAACTGCTCAAAACTAGTTTCTTGAGCGCCGCCGCCTCTATGGCGAGCTCCCGCAGGGCACCGAGCTCGACGAGCTCCAGTTGCAGGAGAGATTCGGAATTTATGGCGAGCCTGAGCAGTCCACTGGCGTGCCTGACCATGAGGACCTGCAAGCGGGGGGCAGCGCGGCGTGGAGACGGCGTCGCCGAGCTCGGATGGGTTGCAGAACCGGACACGTTCCAGGATGAGGATGGCAAGCTGGTTGAACACGCCGGATGACATGGAGATGGGGAGAAACCCTAGGTCGAGGCTGACCGTGTGAGCCTACTCGAAGCAGGGCACCTCAAGGGCTCAAGGGCGTCTTTTTCTTCCTCCTCGACCTCGTCGACGGCATTCCTCCCCGTCTCCGCCGCGAGGTTCACAAAGACCAGGGTGCCGGAGAGGCGGCGCGCGGCATCAGGGAGCCAGACCGCCAGGGACTCGGGTGTGGCGCCTCCGCCGCCGAGATCGAGGTGGCGGAGGCGCAGTTGACTCGCACGGAGGGCGCGGCGGAAGCTGAGGGGCTCGGGGAAGAAGGGCACGCGGAGATCCGGGAGGAGCGTCCACACGGTGCGCCAGCGCCGCGAGAGGACACTGGTTCGAGCTGCGTCTGCGGCATTCCTGAGGAAGAGGAGGATGGTGAGCAGAAGTTCTTCGGGGAGCGCGCTGATTCGGTCCTCCCGGCGGTGGCGGAGGAAGCGCGCTTGGCGGCGACCTCGCCGCCGCTCAACTCCATGGAAAGGGATCGCCAGACTGGGGGTCTCCGGACTGGGGGTCACTGGGAGAGTAAAGGGAGTACTCCCTCCATAAAAAAACATGTAATTTTAACATTTAAATTTTATCTCAGAAAACATGTAATTTTAAGTTATGGTTATCTTTATTGAGTGAGTCCCACCGAATAAAAAAACCACGTCAGAATACTCTAGATATTTTATTATTGTTGTGTGGTTGGTATCGTTCTGAGAGGCAAAAGCATAATTTCATGTTTGTGCTAAACTGGCCTCGAAAACCGACATTCACATGTTGCGTGGGACTGAGAGAGTACTACGTAGCTGTGATCGGCTGTGCTTCTACAGTAGCTGCAGAGTGGTGTGGCTGCAGCAATCAGCAGGGCTGCAGAAGCACATGTGCATTCAGATACACGGAACAGCTTTGTTGCACAGAGAGATGGTAAAACTCAGATTTGGCTGGCCACTGTCTTTAAAAAAAAATGGCTGGCCACTTAAACATTTACATCTGAATATATAAATTTCATCATGTCCATTGATAATTGTACCCCTTCTATGGTTTATCTTACAGCCTGTTCGGATGACTGGTTCGTTTCGTTGCTGGTTCGTGAAGAAGTATTGCTGGCTGGTTTGTATGAGAGAAAATTACTATTTCGACTGGAAATTTACGATCGTTTACGACAAGCCACGGCCAAACGAACGGTAGAAAAAATAAATCTTCTCGCAGCACGCGGCGGTTGCACCTCAGCCGCGATCGGCCAGATCTCGGCGGACGCCGTGCGGCACGTTGCGCGCACTTTCGTGCTAGAAGGCAGTGCAGGGTCTGTGCACGCGCCTGGCCAGGCCCAAGACCCGGAGGTCACCGGAGGCCCGAAACTACCGGCGGCGAAGCACATGGTGGCGCCGTTGTGGCTGGATTTTGGGATATGGCCCAATCGGTGCGAGCCAGCGCAGCGTTGCGAGCGTGGGAGGAGCGGAGGGTTCGCGGAGGGTCGAGGTGGGGCGAGCTGGACGGCCCGGATTAACGGTTTGATCAACAATGGCACAGGAATCGACGACGGAGAAATATGTCACGTTCGCTTCGCTTATAAACCGTATTTTTTCAGTTAACGAACAATATTTTTTCATACAACAAATCAGCCAACAATACTTTTAGTCATGTTTTATTAGCCAAGCGAACAGAGCAATAGTGAGCGACGTGGCCCAATAGATTGCGAGTTTTTTGCTCAGATTTTATTAGGTAGAGATGGGCCAAGTTCTAGATATGCTATCCCAGGCCGATTGGGCCCAGATGCACATTAGTAGCTATGAACTTTAGTCCAGAAATATGGAGCGCTTATTTGAGAAGATAGAACAATCCCTGCCACCAGCGACATGTACTTTAGAAGATAGAACGAATGAACGATCCGCTACGTTACGGAGGGGCAACGGGAAGGGAATCGATTGCTATCGCCAACGATTGGGCGCAAAAGGCTCACCGAAGGCTCGGCCCCTGGCATCCGTTTGCATGGTGCATGAAATGAAACAAACAAAAAGTAAAGGAATCTGATAACGGTAGCATCGGATCACACCAAAAAAATCAACCAACCAAACAGCTCCCTAGTTGCTAGCTCCCTGCCTCACCAGCATTTGGAACTTTATCGAGCCCTCGTAACTGTCTACAGATTGTTATCAACTAATCAATAGTTTTCGGTTGTCATAAAGCGTGGAGCCGTGGACAAAATCACAAAAATCAATTCACAGCTACTAAATTGCATTCACTAAATGTTGATGCATGTCGATCGTGAAGCGTGAACTGCAACCGGCCCTGCAGAACCAACTGTTCTCAGGCCCTGTTTGGTTGGGCTTTTGGCCCCAAAAGCTCAACCAAAGGGGTTATTTTTGGAGGGTGCTTTTTCAGAAGCAGCTGCTTTTCCGTAGTTCATTTTTGAAAGCTGGGTTGATCCTGTTTTTGGCTTTTGGCTTTCTGCTTTTCGAAATTGATGGAATAAAAAGCTCTTACATAGTTGTTTCAAGAGAGATAAAGATAAAAGGTATATTTTATACTTGTTTAACCAAACAAATTTTCAGCTTTTCTCTACTCACACATTTCACATTTAATTTTTCCACTTTTCACGATTCGCACTTACAATTTTTTTCCCCCATATACAGCTCAAACCAAACAGGGCCTCAAATATACGTACTAAACTGTTGCAACGAGTGTAGCCTATAGATTATCTGACACCAGATAAATGACCTGTTTCTATTTTGGCCCTCAGAAAATTTCTGTTCCCTATTTGATACAGAGTTCAACTTTCATTCCTTATTCGACACTCCATTAGATTTTTTATCCGTGAACCGTTAACTGCCATGTGAAAAGACGATTTTGCCTCGGCCCCTCCTGTCCGCGTCATCGAAAGAGATCCCAAATTTTCCAGTTCAAGTCGCGGAGGCTTCGCCTCGCAGGTTCCCCTTGCGCCGCCGTTTACCTCGGCCGTCGCCGGCGGCCGCGCTGTGCTGGGACCGCCGGGATCTGCTGCGCGTCTCAGCTGACGACCGCGCGCACCTCGCAGACGTGTTCGCCACCTACTTCCGAGCGCTCCGGTGCGTCGCCGACGTGCTCGCGCGGTTCGCGAGCCTCCAGCCCTGCACCACGCCGCCGGGGTTGCCAGAGCTCACGCTGCCGCCGCCCACGACGAAGGCGACGAGCTCAAGTTACAGCGGAGCATCTCCGCGTCCGGCTCCCCATCCCCGCACACCGACTCCAGGCTGCGGCCACTCCCTCTCCGACGACGCCTTGGACTCCGACCCCGACTGATCGCCCGACCCCTGCGCCTCCGTTCACGCGTGCTGTCGCGGTCTCGTGGGACGACGCTGCCTGCCTCCGTCCGTGCGTGCTGCAGGTTCCGTTTTCCCAGCAGCCGGCCGCGTCTCCCTTTCCGCGCTGGATCTGTGTGGCCGCCCCGCCCTCGGCCATTTGTTCCAGATCGCTGTTGCAGTCTATGTTAAGCACACCTACTCCCGTAAAGATGTATGTCGTCATACTCCTGTTAAACATGTATGTCGCCATATACTTCCCGTTAAACATGTGTATATTATCATACTATCCTTAGAATTTGAACATATACGCTTCACGCATAAACGTGTGTGTGTAGAATAATTTATGTCCGCCCACTGCGGAATAGATGGTACTTCCACTAGTACGCATGCTCCTTATAAGGTTTTACATTATGTAACAGACATGTATATCTCCTTTCATGACGAGAAAATAATATACACATATACTTCCTTCTAAAAAGTATGTATATACTCCCATCCAAAAAGTATGTACGTATATACTCTTCTCAAAAAAAAGTATGTATATATACACTCCCATTCAAAAATGTATCAGTAGTATATATATATACTCTCTTCCAAAAAGTATGTACAGAGACTGTGCAGCGTATATACTATTTTATTTGTTCCACTAAACATATGTACGACAGTTGCCATGCACCGCTCCTCTGCAGAAGGGTGGTGGGGCCCATAGGGGCAAAATGGTCTTTTCACATGGCGGTTAACGGTTCACGGATGAAAAATCTAACAAAATGTCGTAGAAGGAATGAAAGATGAACTCGATGTCAAATAGGAAACGAAAATTTTTTGAGTGCCAAGAAAGAAACGGATCATTTGCCTGGTGTCAAATAAGGAATTCTCTTATAGATACAAGTGAATTTGATTATCTCAGAAAACGGCAACAAATTTCCAGCAGTTTATAACGAAATAAGTGAACTTGGTTATCTCAGAAAACATGAACAAAATCCATATAATGCATATATATACAAAAAGCTAACTGGACCCATAAACACATAAATTAACCAAGTCTCAAACGAAGTCATGCAAATTAACCGAGTCACAAACAAACTCCCTGAAATGAAACGAGCCACAAGCAGACAAGCAGTTATTCACCATTCATACGGAACAGATCACCTCAACTTCTGTAGGGCGCACAGAATGCATGCAACAAAGAAATATAATGAACCAAAACCAAACATTAAACCAATAACTGACTAGTCACTAGATTAGTCAATGAAACAGGTACATAAAGTTGTGACACAAGTGGTTAGCAAAAGAAAAGCAACAGAACAGCTAGCAGCATTCGGCTTTTTCTTTGCTAATGCACTAAACTAACAACCTCACGAAACTAACAGATCCCCTTAATGAACACCTGTTCCAAACAGCTTAACATTAAAGATAGCAAACCGGTAAGCTAATTGGGGACCTAACACTCGATTTGCTATCTCATGTCCGCGGAGACAGTATTTACTCATCGTCATCGTTTTCCTGCAGAGAGCAAATCAAACAGAATAATTATTTGTTAGCATAACTAAATAGGCAAATATCATTGGCAATGAAAACACGTTATCCAGAAAATAGATTAGTTTTATGTACCTCGTCATCCTCGTCATCGACCTCGGACTTTGAGCCATCTTCATCCTCAGTCTTAGCCTTCTTTGAGCTTGTGCTCTCCTAAAGGAAATGGAATACTCAAATTATGGCATAACAAACTAAAAAAGACTTCACAGTTGAGCATGCACCACAGATCCAAGATTACCTTCTTATCAAAGTTCGCCTTAGTCTTCTCATAGTCCTGCTTCTTCTGCCCAGCTTGGTCCACATATGGCTGCTTCTCCTAATGATTGATTGTTACAGAACAACATACACATTAGTCACTAAAAAAAGAGTATGTGTGCTTTGAGAGATATGGTAACCGTTACATTGACAATTCAATATGGGCGATTCATTTAACATTTCAGGTATAACTGGACCTCTACTCTGTTCTCTTTTCTTGTTTCGAGAGTTAATACTAGCCCTATCCAACCAATAAACCTCAACATTGTGCATAATCACCCATGTCGAGCTAAAAACCAACTATTAAGGACACGCATAATAGATATATAAATCTAAATTCAAAACACAAAGCCGATCTGGGGTATTCGAGAGATCTACTCACTTGCTCTGACATAGCACGCCACTTTTCTCCTGCTGCCTTGCTCACCTGATCCACCAACACGAAGAAATAAGACATCTGCAAACGCACAGAAAAAAAAATAAAGGGAGAACAGAGTGCAAGGTGACTCACGGCCGCAACGCTCTTGTTGCCAGGGTGCTGCGCCTGGTACTCCTGCCTGAATTCAGACCTGAAAAGCAAACGAACGCCACAGCACGCTCAATAATGGGGGGAATCCACAAGCTCTTAACAAAAAATAGAGAATAGATCTAGAGATCTGAGTAAAATGACTCGCCGAGGCAGCGAGAACTCACATGAAGACGAAGAAGGCGGAGGGCGGGCGCTTGGGCTTGCCGCTCGCGGCGGCCTTCTTGCGCTTGCCGGCGCCACCGCCAGCCCGGAGCCTGCAACAACCACACAAAAGCTTAACCAAGAGCACCATGCAGACATCACAAGGAAAAGAGGAACCATCGTTCCGCCACAAGACCAGCGCAAGGCGCGGAGATCGATCCTACCTGCCCTCATCCTTCTTGGAGGTGTCGGCCTTGCCCTTCATGGTGCCTGGAGCTAGGGTTTTGCGAGGGGACAGGACGGGGGGGCCTTTCGAATCGGCAGCGGAGGCGGAGGGTGGTGGGACGACTGGTGGTTGGTTTGCCTTTTGGGTGGGGGAGCGCGGTTGTGCGGTGCGTGGCCGCGTGGGTGTGCGTGAACGAACGACCTTTTGGGTGCAGCATTCGCGACGCGTGGTTGCTTTTGGTGGATCGTGACAGGGACTGGAGCGTTCGGGAAGCGGGACGTGTACTGGGCTCAGTGGGAATCAAAAGTTGCTTTAGGGCCGGTTACGCTAACGTTGTGCTGGCCTGCTGGGCCATCGATTCTGCGTTTCTGCTACCCGCTTGCCCAAACAGTGATGGCAATATTTCGCTAAAAAAAGCTAGTAACAAATATAATCATACGACTATTTAGGGTGGAAAAGTCATGCTAGTGTTTTAATGGATGCTTTCACGGTAGAAAATGAATAGGGACAGCACAAAATGTACTTCCTTCGTCCCGTGGAGATTATTATTTTCACATATCAAAGAGTAAAATGTTTTCAACTTTGACCAAATATATATAAAAAAATATTATTAATATTTATGATATATAATAAGTAGCATTAGATTTGTTGCTGAATATATTTTTATAATAAACATACTTAGAGATCAATGTTGCTAATATTTTCTATAAATTTAGTCAAACTTTTATTAAAAAAAAATTGGCTGCTAAAATATGATCGTAAGACCGTTTTTTTCAATTTAACCTTTTCACATTTATACTCCTGGACGTTGTAAATCCGTCTTTGGACCCTGAGCTCGACGTCGCGGCCTACGGCGCCGAGGTAACACGCCTTGGTGCCATAGGCCATAGCATCGAGGTTGGAGATAAGGGTTGGCGTGGCTGGCGACATGGCGCTGACGTGGCCAGAGCTCGGCGCCATGATTCACGGCGCTGAGGCTTGGCGTCATGGTCTGCGGCGCTGAGCCTCAGCACCATGATCATGGCACCGAACTCTGAATTTAACCCTACCCTAAGTTATCATGACTTAGACATCCTAAAATTTTACCATCTCATGAGGAAAAAATCAAACGGTCCATCCTAAAATTTTGGTGCGTTGACAAGACCAGTAGTCCGCAATAGAATGTATAAGATGATCCAAAATTTAAACTTATAAGAGGGCTACAAAATTGTACAATTTATGGGAGACTTGATAAATGGTTTTATTGAAAAATATTGGAGTTCACCAAAAGAAAACCTAAAGCTACCTTTTGTTTGGCATCTGCAAAAAAGAAAAAAATCATAGCCAAAAGATAGAAGTGAGGAAAAATAAGAGGTGACAACAACTTTGAGCTAAGGAATTGATCGACGATAGATATATGGTGTTTGTGCCGATGGATGCAATAATGGCGCAGGGAAATATGACCAATTACAATCAAACAAAGAAACAAAACTATTCATAAAAAATATTTCAAGTAAGAAAGTCCAAATGTTAGAATGAAGAAGCTAGCTGCACACGTTATTAACGAGGTCCACCTCACTATAGGCAATTGGGGGGGGGGGGAATGAAATTTGAAAAATGATAGAAAATAGGCTCACCAAAGTATAGCTTAGCGAGATAGGCTCAAGGGGTTAGCTCACCATCGTAGGAGGAGAAGGGAGACAGGCTTATCTACCTTCCTTTTCCTTGCATACAAACAAAGAAGGAACCATTCCATCCCATGTATCCTTCAATCAAAATAAAAAATTGGATCATCCCACTATGTATTCTAACAACACAAATAACTAGGACCATCTACTCCTACAAAACAAGGGCGGAACCATCTCATCCCAGCATGTCTCCAAACCAAACACAAGCTAAAGATATTAGTACAAGTAACATATCAACATTAGATGTATGGTATCCATGCAATGGGGCGTGTAGAGAGAGATCACTAATACAATCGACAAAGAAATAAACTATATTTAAAAATATTACTTTCAAATATGAAAAAAAACTAGCGGGTCGTGCTATTTGCACGGGCCACCTTGCTAGTTTTGTATACGTGTCTTATGTTTCACACTTGTCTCGTTGTCCATTACCAACTTGGTGCAAAAATGACCACCAAACTTTCTTTATTATTTTCCTCAACAATTTTCTTCTAGTGCTATAGTGCAATTTCTCTGAAGCAGTGTCGATTGCTGCTGTGGACATCTATTATCTGCAGGCCACAGGCCACACCATAGCTTTACAGGTATGAGATGCTTCAGCTAGAAGCCATGGAGTAGTTGGATGAAAGTTACCGTGAACATGGGCCTTGTTCGTTTCGCTGAAATTTAGCTTATGTTGATTTGTTGTGAAAGAAAAACATTGTTTGTTCGCTGAAAAGTATTGCTGAAGTAGTGTTGAAAACAGGGCACATGACTCGGTCAGCGTGAGCGGCCATCATAATGTACTTGACGCAAGAGACATGAAAAAGTATGCGGCAGAATGACCTGCTCGAGTGCTCGTAGTTTGCTGCCGTTCTGAACATGAGTACATGACGCGCGTGTAACACCATCGGTGTTACATTGTACTGTTTTTACTAAAACACTGCATGAGCATCTTACTTGTATGTGAATGTGTGTGATCTAGGGTATAAATCAATTTTTGAAAATTGAAATGTTTATTTGAAACGTGAACCAAATGTTACATGGTAGGTCACGTTGTATCGCTTAGACGGGGAATTACTCGCGGTCGGGATAGAGAGTCACTAGCTAGCTTAGTGGGCAGCTTGGAAACCGAAAGTGACGCGAATCCGAACGAAGGACTTAGTCGTTTCTTAAGTCGGAGGGTGTGTCGACGAGGCATAGTTCGGACATTTTTTAGAGGAGGATCGGGTTAAGTCATGGCAAGGTGTTTTAGCTTAGTTTGATAGCCCTATATACCCTATGGAGCATAAAACAATTGGTTTGACGTTTGGAGCATTGGGTTCGAGTTTTTGAGCCACTTAAAAAAATGTGCACGGCACATTGTCCATCTCCGGGCGCGGTCACCACCTCTGCTCGGCACGCACGTGTTTGCTTTGCCGGTAGCGTCTTTGCCTGCATGCCCGCCACATCCCCACTGTTGCGCCTTGGTACGCGCTCGCGCACGCCACACGTGTCCAGACGCGCTACCCACCCGACGTCGCCGCTCGCTCACTAGCGGAGGCGGTGGAAGCGGGCGGGACCTTGGCCCCCTTCATTCACACTCGCCCCTTTGCAACTCGAATCGGCTACCTTGTGATTGACACCCGAAGTAGGAAAGTTAACATGCATCCACTGTAAAACGTCTAAGCCTACATCAGTCGGTTATGCTAGATGTAAGCTAATACTCTCAAAGTTGTACGCTTGTAGCTTGACTGGCCCCTGCTTTGTTTGGCTCCGTGCTCCACCACTGCGCTCGTTGGCCGTCCGGCCATTACTGCCGCTCGGTCCGCTCCGCTGTTGCGCACCGGGCTTTCGACTCACGTGCACACATGCGCGCACTGGGGTCCATCGGACCTGGATGCTGCCTCCTTCGTCACATCCGTCTGCGTCACTGCCGCCGCCTTGCGTGTTCGGCTCGTCCGAACCAATATCGCCACTCTCCCAAGCGCTCACGCGCACCGCCTGCACAACCTTCACTGCTCCCGTTGACGCAGCGCAGTTGCACGTGCGTGGGATGACTGCCTCACTGCGCCTTCACGACGGTGTCCACTGCCATGCTCAGCGTCGAGCCTAACTTCCCTATTTCACAGTCACCGTGTCGTAGAGCTTCGGTCGCGCGCCGGAATGCCGAACTCGTGCGCACGTCTGAGGGTCGCGATTATGTCCTGCGTCATGCTAAGCCCGCTACTGTTGCAGTCATACGCTGTTGGCGGCCTCAGTTGGAGTTTTCCCCGCCATCGAATCCATTTAGCCGAACACCATCGCTCACCAAATTGGCCGAGGTGCAGTCCATCCCTTTCCAATTCACCGTGCGCCTAAATAGCTAGAGTGGTTAGCTTCCTATTGGAGTCATCTTGATGGGTTTACTTCCTACGGTGAGGTAATGGGGAGAATTTCTCCTCGGCGGGCTGCCATGGCTAGCGAGACAGAGTTCTCGGCCGGGGCGCTGCTCCTTGCTCGTTTGTTTCAATCGGGCACGGCGGTTGCCTCTCCTTGACTCATTTTCCTCGATCGTGCAGTGGCTCCGCTGACGGTGCTGCAGATCGCCGGAGACGTCCTCTCGGCGGCCGGCGTGAACCGGAACCTCACTCGAGCAGGCGAGCAGAGCAAGCAGAGCAGCCGGCGGTGCGTACTGTTGCTCTTAGCTTGTTGACGTCATCTCTGCGTCATCCTTGCATCACACATGTTATAGGGCCATTTTCTTGTAGAAAAATAAATCCATGAATACATTAGAAATACGCCCACGGCCTGGGCTTCCGCCTGGGCCAGCTCGCGCCCGCGGCCTGCGCTTCCGCCTGGGCCAGCCGCGTCCACGCCCTTGCCTTGCTGGGCCAAGCCGCGTGCGGGTTGGGCCGCGCTGTGAATTGCGTTTTCCAATTTCCAGTAGATTGTAAATGTTTATTCAATATAGTTTCTAGCTGAACTTTGATAAATTATAGTCAATCTTATAGATGTCCAAAAATAATGAAACCAAGTTTGATAGGTTCACAAAAATGCCATCTATCTGTTAGTATAGTTAGTTAACAGTTAGCTGTGATGGTAATGGGCTCATAGATCCAAATTAGAGAGCTTAGTATTATGTAGATTAATAATTGTAGGAATTTTTGTGGTAGATTGATGAGAGATATGGCTATGAAAATTTTACAGTAGGCTCACTAGATTATTATGTACTTGCTGTAAATTTTGTAGCCCTAAAGTAAGATGATAAATAAAGTAGCCATTATCCTTGCTTTATCATATATAGCGTAAATCAGCATTAGGAGTAAGAATACCTGTAGTTGCTATAATAATAATGAATGTCATACTTCAAACTTGTTGTCGGTAACAAGAGATAGCTTAGTATCATAGTCGGTGCCATTAGCTTAGTAGTTA